GGGACTGTGAGCTGGGCTTCCGTGTCCGCAAGAGAACGTGTACCAACCCGGAGCCCCGCAACGGGGGCCTGCCCTGCGTGGGAGACGCTGTGGAGTACCAAGACTGCAACCCACAGGCTTGCCCAGGTAAGGTTGTGGAAGGAAACCTCAGCCTCTCCATGGACTCAGTGGCTACTAGGGTGGAGCCAGAGCGAGGTCTTTCTTTTTTTCTTACTGCCTTGCTTTAGCTTTCCTCTACCGAGGTAGCCGATTTGAGATGAAACTGATAGGGGGTTTAAGGGTGGGAGGAACAACACCCTTTAATTCTTTGACCTGTTGATTTGGGGTGGGGTGGATGTTGAGGTAATGAGGCCCATGGCAGCCTCTCTCACACACACCCAATCTACGCTTACAGTGCGGGGTGCCTGGTCCTGTTGGACCGCATGGTCCCAGTGCTCAGCATCCTGCGGTGGTGGCCACTATCAACGCACCCGTTCCTGCACCAGTCCTGCACCGTCCCCGGGTGAGGACATCTGCCTCGGGCTGCACACGGAGGAGGCACTATGTGCTACGCAAGCCTGCCCAGGTACTGGGTGCATCTGACTGGGGCTGGGAGCTGCTTACCCTCAACAGGGAGATCCTGAGACATGCAGCCTCATTCCAACCCACAATCCACAGAAGGCTGGTCACTGTGGTCTGAGTGGGGTGTCTGCACCGAGGATGGGGCCCAGAGCAGAAGCCGGAGCTGTGAGGAGCTTGTCCCAGGGCCAGGTGCCTGTCTTGGCAACAGCAGCCAGAGCCGGCCCTGTCCCTACAGTGAGATTCCTGGTGGGTCCTTTTGCTAGTACCATCTCCTGCTAGATCCCCATCACACATGCTCCCATTCCCCCTGTGCCCTTCCCTTCTGAAACTTGAACCCTGGGGCGGAGGTTGGAGCAGGGAATGAAACATCAGAAAAGATACATTTGTCTCATGCTTGGGGCTCTCATACTACACACCACCTATTGAATGGTCCACCCTAGGGGGTGGAGGGTCTACAGAGAAGCCGGAGGGAGAGAAGGCTCTGAAGCCTTTGGCCTCCAGATTCTGGTAGATGACACCCAGCCCAGGAGTAAGTCCTCCCTCTTAACTCTATTCCAACCTTCTCCGTTTGTCTCCCTGCAGTCATCCTGCCTGCTTCCAGTGTGGAGGAGACCACCAGCTGTGGAGGTAAAAAGAGCCACTCACGTCACTGCCCTTCACCCAAGTCACTCATGTCCCAGTTCCTCATCCTCCACTCCAGTCTGCACTCTTCCCAGTTCTGCTCTCTTCCTCCAGGGTTCAGTCTCATCCACCTGGTAGCCACTGGCGTGTCCTGCTTCCTGGGCTCCGGGCTCCTGACCTTGGCAGTGTACCTGTCTTGGCAGCACTGCCAGCGCCAATCTCAGGAGTCTACGCTTGTCCATCCTGCCACCCCTAACCACTTGCACTACAAGAGCGGGGGCACCCCCAAGAATGAGAAGTACACCCCCATGGAATTCAAGGTGGGCCCTCTGTGTGAAGCAAAGTGCAGGGTGAATGGTACTGTGGTCCTGGCTCTATGATGGGTATCACTGAGTGGGCGGGTGGGAGTAGGTGGAGGAGCAGTGATCACACCAAGGAGCACTGTGTCAATAATAGACTTTCCCCCTTAATGGCTGGCTTCTAGGACTCCGTGCCCTGGGCTGGCCCTTTCCTTATCTCTTCTCTCCTTTCTCTGATTCCTTCTCCTCCCTGTAGACACTGAACAAGAATAACTTGATCCCTGATGACAGAGCCAATTTCTACCCCCTGCAGCAGACCAATGTGTACACAACCACCTACTACCCCAGCCCACTGAACAAGCCCAGCTTCCGGCCGGAGACCTCACCTGGACAGCGCTGTTTCCCCAACAGCTGATCCCACCCTCCAGGACTTGGGCTCCTTGCCTTCCCAAGGCACAGAACAGTGGAATGGGACAATAGAGCCATTTTGGTGTTCCCTCTGTACTGGGCTGAGAACTTGCTTGCCCGGCCTGTGGGGGTCCCATGCAGCTTCGGAAAGCTCTGCCTCTCATTGACCATGGGAGAGAGGGCTGCCCTCAGGCTGGCACATGGCTGCGGATCCAGTTCAGCCCAGATTTCATGGTCTTTTGTGACCCACCATCACTTTCCCCTGCCATGTCTGAGCTGTGGACCTGCTGAGCATGTGAGGAAATTGGAGAGTAGAGATGACAGGGAAGTGGGCTCTTAGGTTTGGGTTGGAAATGACTTCCAATGGCCACCGCCAAGTCTGCCCCATTTGAATGGCCCTCCAAAATGCCTGAGCTGCATCCAGCTTGTCAGTGAAAGGAACTCATCAAATGTCCCAGCAGCTTCAGAACTCAGCCCAGGGCTGGACCACTCTGATGCTGCTCTCTAAATGTCACAGGGGACCAGTGCTGGCCTCGGTTGGTCAACCTGTCAGACAGTCTGTATCTTGACCAGGGGCATCCCTCTGGTTAGGGGCAGTGAAGACTGAGAACTGTTTTAGAGGCTGGACTGTGCTGAGAGGCCCTTTAATCTGACTTGGTACAGGCCTTAGCCTTGCCTTCAGAATGCACACAAAATGGCCCAGAAGGAAGGAAGACTCACGACCACAAGAGGCAGAGTCTGGCCTCCATGCCTATGGAGACTGTTGCTGCTCAAGAGTTGTTGGCTGAGAACTGCTTGGGAGTCTCTGCTGGCCCCTCATATATTCAGGAACACACACACACACACACACACACACACACACACACACACACACACACACGCCATCTGCTACAGCAACAAAAAGGATGTTACACTGTGGCATTATTAATTAAAGATGATATCCAGTCTCCAAATGGAACTGTCTTTGTGCATATGTGTGTGGGCCCTCTTGGCATGGTGTAGTCCATCAAGGCAATGCTCAAGGTAACAGATGGTTCCTCAAGATGGAGGAAATGACCAGAGTGGATTTGACTTCAATAGAGGCCATCTTCCTGTGTGGGGGTGTATGTGCACACACGTATTCTCCTTTCAGAAAAGAAGTTGGGTGTAAACAGAATTCACCAGTGAGGACACTAGGTTCAGCAAAGGCAACAGTACAGAGTGGTGTGGGCCTGCCCTGAGCAGCTCCTGCGTGGAGATGGGGAATCCAGCAGGAGTCCCCTGATGAAGATGATTCATGGGATATGTTTGAAGCTGAGTTTAACAAAAGCAAATTGAGAAATGATGCCTATGAAGGGGGAAGCCTGATGGAGTTTGTGCTGGATTAAATAAAAATCACCTCAGAGCTTCAGCCCTCCAAATCAATGTGGCCATTGTGGAGGTGATTGATGGACGTGTTAAATTTAGAGAACAATTTCCTGCCTTAATTGGATAGATCAATTCTCATAAGAGCCTTGGGAAAATGGAAGGCAGATAGGCTAGAAGCCTGGACACTCTGTGGTAGAGAGGTAGAGGGTCTTGGGGAACAGAGGAAGAAATGCCTGAAGCTTGAAAGTGTCTGGAGAAAAAGAGAGGTGGGGCCTTCCTGGAATTCTGGTGGTCACATGAGACAGCTCAAATGGCAATGTTCCTGGGCCAGGGGGAACTAGAGTGTTTGTGGCTTTTGGATCCCTGCACGGTACTTGTCAGGCCCCTGAGCCTAGAGCTTGTGGAGGCCTGTGGGGCACTTTAGATCCTGGAGTTTCAATAGCCTTGAACCTGGTAGTACTAATTAGTGAAAACTGAAAGTGTTCCAGGGCCAGTGTGTCTGCCTCACCAGTGTCACTCACGTGTGACCAAGTGAGGGATAGCTCTATGGGTAGTGGTCAAGGAGAACTGCCAGATAAAGTGTACCTCTGTTGATTGAAATGCTGTCCCTGGGAAGGTACACCCCAGGGGACCTGAACACACACACTTGAAGTCTCTTGTAAGAGCATGTTTTGGCGGCTAATCTCAGAATGTACAGGAAGTACCACACTGCACACATGCAGAGGAGTGGGCATGGTTGGCAAAGGCTATTTAATAAATACCCCTCAGCTAAGAGCGAAGGACCCCAAAAGTCACCTCTCATGTGCCCTGACAAGAAGGTGTTCTCTGGCGGATGTCAGGAGGCTGAAGTATCGAAGGAAAGTGGGCTTTTCCCATCCAGCTGGCTCAGTGAGAGTGAGGAAGAGGCAGGAGCAGGTGCTTCAGCCTTCGTGGGCCCTTTTATGTTCCGCTCTGTGGGGAAGCCCACTGTCTTAAAGCCATACATATCCACTGCAGGAAATTTAGAGAAAAAAAAAAAAACCTTATAATGTTTATACTAAAAACCAAGACAGAGATCTAAGGAATTTAACATGTTATGTGAATACAGTTCTTCCCCATTCTCTCAGAATCAGCCCCCAAAGCAAAGGGAATAAAAAACAAAAGCTCTGACACCATTTTCAATAAAACTCGGATGAAGTTCTAATCTCAACTCATAATACCGTCATCTGTCTGTATTCTTGGAGAATTGGCTCCAAGGCACTGCCCCCTGTGGATTCCCAAACCTGTGGATGCTCATGGTCCCTTATGCAAAATGGAATGGCATTTGTGTGTAGGCAGTGCACACCCTCTTGAACCTTCTCTGGATTATTTCTGATACCTACTGCATTGTGAATGCATTATGAATCACTGTTCCATATTGCTGAGGGAATAATGTCGAGAAGAAAAGTTTGGGTGTGTGCAGTTTGGAGGCGATTTTCCCCCAAACACTTTCCACCTGTGCTTGTTGAATGTGGGTATGGAAGCCATGGAAGGGGGAGGGGGTCTGTCTGTCTACAGTGACAGAAAGAGGGGAGTAACAATGGTCACTTGGGGGTGTAGGAATGGGGCAGGCCTGACAGCCAAAGGATTTCAGAAAAGGGTCAGCAATGGACGGAGGGTGAGAAGGAAACTAAAAGGAGGGGGTTGTATGAAAATCATTGTGTAAGCTTCAGCTAGATCCTTGAGTTTTTATTCATGTTTCATGGCTAAAAACTTTAAAAAACAGGGTGGGGGGGCAGGTACAGAAAAGCCAGGCAAAGCAACAGTATAGCTTAATAACACAGGGCACAATCTTTGCAACAAAGACTCCGGTCAAGAAACAGAATGGGGACAGCTGTCCTAGGACCCCTTTTCTTTCCTTCTCCTCCCTTACACAATGAGATGGTTATCAGCGCCAGGAAACGGGAAAGAGCAAGGAAAAGAAATACAACCGCTGCTCGCAACACGGCTAGACCAGAGCCTATTTCTATAATGGTCTCATCTTTGTGATGTATCTATTATGTTTTAGTCATAGGAGAGGACATAGCAGAGGGACAAGTCTCTGAGCTCCTGATACTAACTGAATGTTGGAGTGAATATTAGGAAAAAACAGTACTTTATTCAACAACCAATAAGATAAACATACACGGAAGGACTTGCCTCCTCAAAATCCCTTTTATTTTCCCCACCATTACCTTGTATGTGTTCATTCACAGAAATTTGAGGCCAGACATACCTGCACCTAGCCACAACATGTTGCATTTAAGGTGGGCCTTGGCTCTAACTGTGCTGTGCTGTTTGAACCTTGTACTTCCAAAAACCATGAGCTAAATGAGTCTTTGTTTATAAGTAAAAAGGAAGGAAGATAATTTGGGAAGGGGAATGGGCTATAGCTCAGTTGATAGAGAACATGCCTTCTCTATCCATGAGGCCCTGGACTTGACTCCCCAGAACAGGAAAAAAGGAGCAATTCTTTGGGGATGTAGCCTGGGTTCAATACCGGCACAGAAAAAAAACGGGGCATGCCTATAATCCCAAACTTTGGAAGGTGGGGACAGAGGAGCCTGACTATATAGTGAATTTGAAGCCAGCCTGAGATAAAAGGGACACTGTCTCAAAAAAGAAAATTAATTCTGGAACACACACACAAAAAAAACTAATAAAAATCTAATATCCTAAAGAGACAATCATCAATATCTTAATATGTCTTTTTCAGATGTTTCTCTGTTGTTCTATGTGAGTTTGATTTTACAGAAGTAAGGTATACTAAATGTGAGTTTTATTCTGATTTTAACACATAACATTATATCATAATTTTCTTATATTGTTAGAAGTTCTTCTTTAAGCCTCGGGGTCCCTTGCAGCCCCGGTCCTTGCAGTGGGTAGGGAGAAGAGAGAGGGCCTTGTTTGCAGAGTCTCATGAGAGATAAGTTCCCCCCATTCTACCACTTCAATTAGAGAAAATGCAATTTTTACACATTTCATTATACCACAGTAAACTTTGAAGTGTTTGCATAACAGTTGAAAAATCTGGAACATTCTGTCACTTGAATTTCATTTTTATCTAAATTTGCTCTCCTCTACTATATAATGATATTATTCTACCACATAAATGTATCATAATTCACATTAGCCACTCTTATTTGTTTCACATTTTCTTTTTCCAGACAACTACTCTAGGTCTCCTTCTGAGTTTTTCGTACGTGCCCTTAGGATACAGTCCGAGAAGTGGAGGCAAGTAGGGAATGTGCTTGTCACGTGGCTTTCCGAATTAGTCACGGTAAACTAGGAATACATTGCTGGCTGGAGTATAACTGGTGGTCATCCCTTGAAGATGTTGGTCACAGAAGTGCTGTGCTGCTCAGAGCTGTCACCCTGGATTATCGGGCACATTGAGCCCATTGTCCTCACACTAGAACCTGGGAAAATGTTGTTATTTCCTTTAAAAAATATTTTATGTGTATGGATGTTTTGTCTGCATGTATATGTGTGTATCACTTATGTGCCTGGTGTCTGTGGAGGTCAGAAGAGGGCATCAGATCCCTTGGAACATGAGTTACAGATAGTTCTGAGCCACCACTTGGGTACTGGGAACAGAACCTTGGTCTTCTACAAGAGGAGCAAGTAAGTGCTCTTAACTTCTGAGCCATCTCCCTAGCCCCA